TAGTCTAGATTTGATTAATTTTATGGAAGAAAACCTTTTAAACAGCCGTAGCCACTAAACTGCATACGTGCCGGGCTGTGATTGGCTCATGTATTTAAATGACTCGTCTAACACGGAATTCATATAACACGGAACGTATCTACAGTAGAGCGTCGTTTATCCGAAGGTCGGTTATCCGAAATAATTCCAGTCGGCAAATTTAAATTTTCGCCAGTGCTGTGGCGCTGTAATCTTCGGCTATGTCTTCGGCTACTCAAATATTTTACGTTTTTGATACTAAATTAACTTCTGAAGTATAATTTGTTATTGTTTTTATTTTTTCAATATATTTATTTTGTTTGTACGAAATAAAAAATTAATTTTTAACGATACAATAGTCTTCGTTAGGCTTAACATCAACGAAAATTCAACGCCAAGCGACACGCAACGGAGAAAAATGTCAAGATGGGATAAATTAATATATTTTTTCGTACATAATTGGTTATCCGAAAAATAAGTTATCCGAACAACCCCAGTCCCCAATTGATTCGGATAAACGACGCTCTACTGTACCTTGTTACAGGGGGTCTACGGTACATTGACTTATTATAGCTGAATAAACTTATTACAGCATTAATGAACGTAATATAGTAATATTATTGCATTAATATGCTAAAAATGAAATAAAAAGCTATGACAAAAATATAAAGTCAGAAAAAGAGCAATAACTAACATTTTTTAAATCAACAAAACACCACCTGGACAAAAATATGTAAAACAGACGTTAGACATGACGCTGCTGTCAAGTGCTGACATCTGTTGTCGATAAATTTTACAAAAATGGACTTTTTATTAGGGTAACAACGAATCGAACGTGCGGCTAGAGATCCAGATGGCACAACGCGCTGATTGGTCAGCTGAATGACGTCAACCCACCGAAATAGGAAATGCTGGACGATTATATTTTGTGGTCGTCAGAACGAAGTCACGCAGAAATAGATTATTTTTTTAGTTGTAATATTGAGTGAGTATAAAGTGAAAATACAGTATAAAGTTTAGCTCGCATGTTTTCTTAAATTTATAGGAATAATTTTAAAATGGTTTACTTTTACTTAATAAATTACTACGATTATTTATTTTTTTTGAACGAATTTTAACTTCATACTTGATCTTTATGTACAGTACCTCTGAACCAAATCATACACAATAGATCATTTTAATAGTGCGATTAGTGTTTTAAATTTACGTGCACAGATAATAAATAACAGAAAATTTATACTTTGTTACAGATATTATTCATAAAAAGATCGAGAAAGGATGAAATTTATAATTAATTAAGATAAGTCAGAATATTCTTTGAATTTGTCACATGCATTTAATATAGTTAGATGAAACAATAAAATTAACTAAGTTTTGTATACCTCTGAAAGAGAAATTTTCACAAATCTTGCTTAACAAATTATAAAGTTTAAATGTAAAAGTTGTTGAACAATTTTAAATAAAGAATATTCTCCATAGATTTAAAAAAATCTGATAAGAATAATGTTTTAGTTAGAATTGACAGTTCTTTCTGTCAACAGACATTTTGTGCTTTTGAATGTCAGTTCAAAATCTGTGTTAAGAAACAATACTTTTCAAATTTACAGAAATTTCATGTATCCAGTTCCATAATGGATATATCTGTAAATATGTTTAATCAAATTTGTATGACCATTTTTCAAATTAAAAGTATAGAATTCTTGTATAAATTATTTAACAATCAATAATACTGTAAGTATTTAAATTCCTTTGAATATAATAGTTATATATGTTTTAAATAAGAATTTCCATACATTTCATCGTGGAAATTGTTTATCAATATGTGTCAGGAAAAAGTAATGTTACATTTGTACTGTAATGTTTTCATAGTAAACTATTTTTTTAATCCTTTTTATTTTTTGTTAAAATAATATTACCATACTAATGAATAACTATTTCTAGATGCCTTGTATGTGCAGTATACCTGGTTGCATAGAAAAATATATATCCAGTGTCTATATTTAAGTTTCCACAGGATTTGATTTGAAAAGCAAACCAATGGATTAGAGAATTTGTAGAAAAAATAACTTATTATTTAAAATGTTTTAACAATTATGCATTAAAAAGTATGAATTATGTTTAGGTGAAAATATATATTAAATTGTTAACTAGTCTGCATTTTTACTTAGCATATTCTGTTGTAATATATATATAAAACATTAAATACAAGTTTCTGTAAGGTTAAAAATACTGTATTGTCTAATAAAGAATGTTAAAAAAAACTTAATTTGCAATTTACATTTGTTGTTTTTGATTATTTTATTATTATAGTAAATGTACAAAAAAGCTTACAAAAATACAAAACAGATAAAAGAAGTTACTTCTTTTATCTGTTTCTTAGTAGGTTAGGCTAATGAAAATAAATTAAGCCAAAGAGATGATAAAAAGTAATTTAGTCTGCAAAAAATTACTTTGTATTATATTTTATCTGTTTCTTGATGTTTAAAAATGTCTCAGCATTAAAATCTTTGATATCACATAATTTTATGTTAAAATTATTGCAAAATTTTCAATTAATGTCAATACACACAAGAGCTAGTGAAATTATAAATAAGTGCCTTCTATTAAGTTTTAGATGAAATGTCTATAACTATTATATAATGTCTGCCCGCTCTCACAACAACAACAATACAAAGTTTAGGCTAGTCACTCAACATTACCGATTTTCGTAGGTTGACGTCATTCAGCTGACCAATCAGCGCGTTGTGCCATCTGGATCTCTAGCCGCACGTCGAATCGATACCCAGGGGCGCCGCTAGCTGTTTTAACGCCCGTGTGCAATACCGATTATGCCGCCCCCTGTTTAACTACGACTGCCTACGCCGTGGTTGCCAGAAAGGCTTTTAGTGTGTGAAAAAAGGGTGTGAAAAAAGAAAAGAAATACTTTACAAAGGAAAAACTATTTATTATTACTAAATTATTTTTGTTTACTTAAGTGTAAAATTATATAAATATTTATCTACAGAAATTGTACTCTTCTTGCGTTTATGTTTGCAAAATCTGCTATCAAGTTTCTTGTATCCAAGCTGTCTAAGATTTCATGTTCAATTAAAACTATAGCTAAATTACTTACTGCATTGCTGATCTTAAATAGTTTTTTTTTTATAATTTTTAACTTTGTAAAGGACCTTTCACCAAATGCAACTGAAACTGGCAATGTAAGTAATATTCTTAGAGCTATTGCTGTGTTCGGAAATGTTAAAATGTTGAAAATAAAAATATATTGTAATAGGGTTTGTGGATCATTAGACTGGTTTTCTGGACAATGCAACTTTAAAGTATTGATTTCATTAAACAAATCAATACCGTCAATGTCTGTTTCACTACTTGAATCATTTCTAACTTTCAGATTTAAATTCCAACCAAGTTAAAATATCATTAATTATACTTAGACCCATGTCAGAAGAATTAACAAAATAATTGCAATTTGATATGCGATAGAAGTGTTCGAATGCGTACAAGTACAAATTGAGAAGGAAGCTCTGTGGGGATTCCCTATTTTCGCCAGTTCTGTCAACTTCTGTCATAGAGCACGACTATGGGTACTTGGCTTTCGGGCGCCGCCGGATGGTTCAACCTACTGACAGACGTTTCGCATTGCATCTAATTCTGATAAATGCCAATAGAAGCGCTGTTAACGATATAATATAAATAAGAATATAGTAATTGCGCGCCGGTCAAATTTTTTTCTCCATGGGAAGACATTTCTTATGCTATAAATAGGGTGGATATTATGACAATGATTTTGAATATTACGTGACCGATCGCTCGATTTGCCGCCCCCTGGACGTGTGGTGCACGCCTTGCACGCCCGCTTACGGCGGGCCTGTTGGTACCCTCGTGGTTTTGCTTAACAATGGGGGTACCTATCGATCGATACTCCAGTCGTTGAAGAGTATATTAAACTATTAATAATTGTCGAACAGATGTCGTAAATTAACATTCTATGAGACCGTCGATAATCGAATCTTGACGTTTTGTAAAGCGTAAAATATTTGACGATTTTGAGGTTTCAGATTTTAATGGTAAGTCTACAGTTGACATCTCTCTTCCAATACATTACATAATTTTTAGCACGATTCACGGTAGTAGTAAAGTTCTTATGTTAGGACTTTTGTCCGTATGTTCGATTTCCACGCGCATGCGCAATGACTTCACTTTCGTTACTTAGGGTACGTTCGTAAAGTCGAACGAGTTAAACGAGAATGACGTCATCGTTATTCTTATTTAGTTAGACTTTTTGAACGATTCGTTTATAACTAAATGGATGTTTCTAAAATCAAAGATATGAATGTTGTTAGTGCAGCCTTATCCGAAATATTTTTCTTAGATTGCTTCGGGTGGACAGTTATTTCAATCATTTCACTTTTTAAATCACAATTTAAACACTCGAGTAGATTTAGGGTGCGTTTACTTCTGACTTGTGAGTTAGCAGTGCTAACTCAGAAGTAAACGCACCCTTAGAAACATCGATATCGTCGGACGCCATTTTCTTAACTCTTTCCTTCGTGAAGTTTGTTAGAATTTCGTTCGAAACGTCATCACCGCAGAGCATGCGCACTGGGCGAGACTACTACTATTCGAACGATTCGTTACTAACGCGTTTAACTCGTTTGACTTTACGAACGTACCCATAGTATTATATTCTGTCGATCCATTCGATTTAAACTTTGGAAATTAGGTTTAGCTGTTATGCCTTTAGAGTTACCTAAAGCTTAGGCTTTGGACTTACCTAAGTGTCATGTTCTGTTCGGTCCGTTCATTGCGCATGTCCATGCGGATGTACAAAACACAACTGAACATTTTCATTTACAGTAGCTGTAAGCTATAATAAGAACTATCCTATTAGTATGTTTTAATCGTTAAATTTATTTTATTAAATTAAATTTTATAATAAATTTAATATAATAATTATAATAAATTTATTTTTGAAATATTTGATTCGATTTTGTGAAGCGTGCTATCAGATAGGCTTGACCAGTCTTGTTCTGTAATAAGTCTGCTTATATCCAAAGATTGTCCAACGATGCAATACAACTTCATTGTATTAAATCTTTCATCTTAATATCGCACGAAGGTGGTTTTTTGGCTACTAAAAGTTCCACAAAGACAGACAACGATGAATATATGGCACTCAGAGCCTGTAACAGTAACATTTAGAAGCTATTGTAAATATGCAAATTATACCTTCTAAACTGAATACGATTTTTATAAATAAAAGTTTATTTGTGTGTAGTATTTGCAGTTATAAATGATATTTCTACTGGTTTAATAAAGCATGAAACAATGTATTAAATCAACTTACTCGAATGAAAAAGTTCTTCTTAACATAAAAGAATCCTCCCACGTTTACTCCAAATGGAGTTTTCCCGTATCGTTTCATGAAATTCAGCATCTTATAAAGAAATAAAAATTCTATTTTATATGTTAAATTCAGAATTCAATTTAAAAAATTTAAATTTCTTTGTCTTACCTTCATTTTAGTTTCTAACGGTATATTGGCTGAAAATAATTTATGGATTTCGATGAACTTCCCGTACAGCTTGAAAAATTGAAATTATCATCATAAAGAATAATTTTTGTCTAAATGCTTATGTATTATATAATCATATAATATATTCAAATGTACATGTAAATCAACGGGGATTTTCCAATAAATTAGAATATTTACTAATTGAGATGTTATACCAATTGTTTTCTTTAAAAAATTATGTTAACGTGTTTTCGAAGTGAAAACAAACAAGTTTTAAATAGTTTAATGCTTTAGTAGAAAAGAAGAATGAAATATACAAATCTTACTCAAATATTTTAATCGTTCTCCCTCTCCTGTAACGTAGAGGTCCTAAATATACAGTGGGTGATCGGTTAACGAACAGATCGGTTAACGAACAGATCGGTTAACGAACAAATCGGATAACGAACACTTTCGCGAAAGATTTTTATGATCGGATAACGAACACTTGACTGAACAAACACAAAAAGAAGAGACGTAAAATAACGAATACCGATTGGTCTTCCTTTGTCTTCAGGCAACAATTCAAAACTTTTCGGAGCGCGGGAGACGTCGACATCGACGTTCTACCCAGTATATCAGTATACTGAGAGGATAGTATTCTCCCGAACTTTGAAACTCTCCCTTGTAATTCCAGCTTTTTATATTTTTGTCAGAAACAATTCTTTTACATTTTCTTATGAAAATGCGGATTTATGCCGATATCTGCTATTAAAGATCTTTTAAAGAAGTGGGAGGACGTTGTTCTGACAGAACAACGGTCTTAAAATGGCATCGAAACCAGGTTGAGGTTAATAGGCCTAGGGTTCTCTACAATTACAATGCTATTAATTACTTCTGAAAAATCATAAAGAAGACAGAAAAGCAATCGACATTGGACAGATTCTTTAATTAATTAATTAACCCCCACAAACGGAAAAAACATGACTAATAAAAATGCAAGACCGTGTATATATGTATTTTTATTATTACATATAAATAAACGTAATAAGAAAGTATAGTCTATATTTTTTATTTTTTGGAGGTCTCCAGAACGAATTAATCAAATTCCCAGAGAAACCTATGGTAAATCAATAATCGGTTAACGAACAATTCGGATAACGAAAAAGTCTTGGAACGGATTATGTTCGTTAACCGATCACCCACTGTAATTAATTTTCTAATTTATACTTACAACAATAAGCAGATCTTAACAATGACTTATCATAAGAATTTCATTACTAATTGTTAAAATCTACGAATTCTAATTTAAATTTTTAATCAAAAGTTAAAAATAAATTCAAATTAAATCAAAAGTTGAAAATAAAAAGTTAAATTAAATTTGATTGCTATTAATTAATAGAAGGATAAATATATTTAGCAATGAAACAAATTTAAGAGCTTACGATAACACTTCCTTAAGTCACTATTGTCACGACATTGAGGACAGCATAAAACAGTAATTCACTAGTTCTCTGCATTTACAGGTTGAACTTTTTTAAAGTAATTATTATCAGGAGATCTCAAGAACAGAATTATTCATGATATATTTTTATAAATCGTTGAATTTCGGAGCAAAATTGACGCTTTTGAACGAATAGAAGTTGATTATCAGAGTCAAATCAGCTTTTCTAAGAGACTGCCTTAAAAATCTGATGTCAAGTAAATGACTAACGAAGATAAGTAAAGTGAAAAACAAAAGTACTCTATAGAACTAGATGAACAATAATGCGTACGTCGGACGTTTAGCGCCGCTTTCCTGTAAGCCTAGAAGTTTGACAATGGTGTTCGGATAGTCAGTGGAATCATCTGGACATTCCAAACACCATTTTTATAGTTCTAGGCTTACAGGAAAGCGGCGCTGAACGTCCGACGTACACGTTTTCGCATTTAAAACTTCCGCCTCAATCTCGCTATTATCTGAAACCAAGTGGCTTTAGATAAAGATTTAATCGCTACTTATATAAGATTTATATACTTCAATTTTTAGTAGCAATTAATTATTACACGTACAGGCTCTGATTGATTGAACCAAAATATTTAATTCATATATACTTAACATATACTCTTCTTCATTTCACATAACAGAACACTCATTAAGTAATTACCATGCGAACAGTTTTATTTTTCAAATGTTTATCATTTTAACAAAACTGTAATACAAAGTAAACGATTATTATTTATAAATAGGTTATAAATACCACTGAAACTCAATTTCGATGAAAACTTAAAATTTTTATTTACAACGATATTTCTAAAGTTTCTAATTATAATTATAATTAGCGTTAGAAACGTTAGTTAGCTAAGTTAGTTAGCTAATTATAATTAGCGTTATTAAATAATTATTTAATAATACACAATTTAAGTTTGTCTTACCAAAGAAGTGAATCGGGATAGTTGAAAACTTATAAACGTAATTCCAAAAACGAAACTTATCGATGTGATAGCAACTGCAGAACGCATTAAATCATCAAGATCAAAGAAAAACACTACGCAGAATAAGAAACTGGTCTCATAGACACCGAAACAATATGCGACTGGAATGTATGTTTCATAAACTAGATTAAGTTCTTGTAAGTAAGTCCATAAATCCCAATGAGTTTGAATCAAGGTTTCGATTTTAGTCTTCAGGAAACAATCCTCTTTTGCCAATTCATCGACTACATTAGATAAATACTTGAATCTCTTTGATAGCATAACGGCAGCTGCACCTATAACAAGAATACAACAATCTAATTGTCCAATTCCGTAAATGCACATTAATGTGATATTCAGATTACAGAATGCCAGCTCAAACTGTGAATTAGTTATTTGTTTTAATGTAGGGTACAGAAATAAATCAACTACCGTAATAAATGTGATCATTGAAAAAAATATATTTATAACATTAGCTATAAATATGATTTCAATATTATCTGCTATTTTTCCCTCTCCTTCATATCCACTTTTATTTTTAAGAATATAAAGTTTCTTTCTTTTAAACAAACTAAATTGAAAAGCTATAAAAATAAAAATTGTAATTAGAATAAATTTTACAAGTATTTGATTATTAGAGAACATTCGGATCCATCCGACACAAACCAAATTGTCTGTTATCTCTTGAGCAGAAAGTATTATGTTAGTCCACATAAATATCTCTATAGCAGTTTGGTACAAAGGATATAATTTTGACAGATATTTCGACTTTTCGGCAGACTTCTTACAATCACAATACATGATTTTAATTCCAAATATCTCTAAGGACGTGAGGATCGGTCGTAGAAAACACACAGCGCACAAACTACGATTTGCATAACCTGAATACATGTTTAGTTATCGAAAGTCGTAATGTAACTAGTAACTTTAGATCTGGGGTTATTTTCGGTTCTGGGGATCTATTGCAACATAATTCTTTATATAAACTAAATGCAGTTATTCTTAAAATACAAATGCTATTGAATAGAATATTACGCAAACAATTGATTCTCATGCTATACAGCATGAAGATCAATTGTTTGCGTAATATTGTCATGTGATCGGAAATGCGTCAGTATCTTCAGCAGTTAATATATTACGCCAATATCTTAAAAGCCTCTCATTCGTTTTCAGATTTGATTATTTTGATCTAAGTACAGTAGAGCGTCGTTTATCCGAAGGTCGGTTATCCGAAACGTCGGTTATCCGAAGGTCGGTTATCCGAAACGTCGGTTATCCGAAGGAATTTCAGTCGACAAATTTAAATTTTCGCCAGTGTTGTCGCGCTGTAATCTTTGGCTATGTCTTCGGCTACTGAAATATTTTACGTTTTTGATACTAAATTAACTTCTGAAGTATAACTTTTTATTGTTTTTATATTTTTCAATATATTTATTTTGTTTGTATAAAATAAAACAATAATTTTTAACGATACAATAGTCTTCGTTAGGCTTTACATCGACGAAAATTCAACGCGAAGCGACACGCAACGGAGAAAAATGTCAACACGGGATAAATTAATATATTTTTTCGTACATAATTGGTTATCCGAAAAATAAGTTATCCGAACAACTTCAGTCCCCAATTGATTCGGATATACGACGCTCTACTGTATTATAATTATTTTTTTAAAATAATTCTTGCTTTTTAATACAGACTAAATTCTTAAAAAATTTTGTAGTTTTTAGTGAGATCTTATCTTTCAGCTCTTCGTTAAAATCTATAATATAAATAATGATGAGCTTAAAACAACCACGTTAATGTTTGAAAGAAAATTCAAAAGAAAAAACAATCCATAAGGATGACAAATAATTTGATTAAAATCAGTTATGTATCTATTGTCTAACTAGTTTATTGTTGATGTAAAAAACAGATTGAACTTTGATCGAAAATACGGTAATCAGACAGATATTTCATTAAAATTAGATATTATTGATACTAAATTAGTCCATAGTGGACTGTTATAAATCCATTAAAATTAATTATAAAAAGAAACTATTGATTAAAGCCTTATTATACAATAACATAAGTGTTATTAAAAATATCAAATTTCATGTAAAACTTAATTTGAAATATTTAAATATTTTATTTAACTTATCAAATTTTTTTCGAATTTTCACTTGAATGGATTACGTTGTAAAGGGCAAGATATAGTTAGAAATTTTAGATTATAATATTCAAATAATGAAACCAAAGTTAGATGCTTTTAAGATATTGATATTGTAGATTTAGTATTTTGCTATTGAAGGACACCGATTCACTTTTTGTCACGTGACAGCAATAGAAAAGTGTAGTCGATCGTTTATGTAATATCGAATCAAAAATATTTTTTCTTTTAAGAAAATCTGCATTTGATTTATTTTACAGCCTTTGATATGACGGATTAATTATTAAATTAATCACTAAACCGTTAGTCTAATTAACATTGTTTTGTTCGATGAAATCTCGACTATTTTGCATTTTTTAATGTTGCTAATATTGAATATAGCAAATAATAACAATAATAAATCCATAAACACCCAAAAATAGTGAGGGGTTAATTTGTACTCTCCCGGCTTCGTTATATCTCAGGTAAAATTTGGTAATTCATTAAAAATGCACCCAAGATTTCCACATTTCTTTGATCATGACATCTTGATATGTCGAGAAACGCAATAAATTCGGATGTAATTTCTGTAAGTATGGATGCTAGTATTTGTGTGGGGCACGATTTTGTTCACCTTGTTTGAAGCTTTATAACTCCTCTGCTTATTGTCGAAAATTTCTGAAATTTTGCTGGTAAAATCCGATGGATTAGCAGCTCATCGTTTAACCGCTCGGCCACCTCGTCCAAAGGCGCACTCCTATCTTTCAATAATTACATTATCGCCAACTACTTCACAATGCTTGCCAACAACACTTTCATTCAGAATCTGCAGTAGCGAAGCGAGTGATTGGGTGATGGCGCTGTCAATAACTCGGGATGCTGTATCACAGCGTAAGCATTTCGTCTCCCGAACACTGAAAAAGATTTCTACTTGGGTGATTTGACATCTCATTGTTCGTAGTAATATAAGGCTTTTTACTTCACTAGATGTATTTGACGACCGGATGGCCGAGCGGTGAAGATGGGCAGCATCCCGCTCTGGAGGACCCGGTATCCGGATGGGTCGAAAACTCCCGAGGAATTTTTCGGGGAGTGATCCGACCAGATATGTCGGCCTCTGTCCCTTACCACCCGGTCGCCCCATTGTGGGCCGGTTGAACGCATGATGGGCTTGCTGAAAAAGGCCCTCTTAGTGCCCACAGGAAGGAAAGAGTTGAAGAAAAACCTTACTGGATAAATGCCAGCAACCATCTAAAACTGCACCAGTTCTGCAATCGCGAGCGGACAGACAAAGCGGTGTACTAACAGGCAATAACATTGTGGAAGAAACGAGCTGGGCGGAAAGCAAAGCACTTCATGTATATTCATCGATAGCTGGTCGATGTCCATTAAAATTTTTAACAATCGATTAATTCATCATTAATATCCGCCGTTCTAAAATAAACCAAATGCGGAGTTTCTTAAAAAGAATATGCTTGAATAGCATAATATGCAAACGATTAATTTCAGTTTGGTATTTTTATATTGGCTGTGATAGGATGGAAACTGCATCTGTGTCCTTCAATAGTAAATAAACCAATAATGTCTAACTTAATTTCTATTTCTAAATATTTCCAGTGTTAATATTTTAATGTAAATTTTCTCAATATTCCTTAAATAATTCTTCTCCGTTTATAAGACACTCCACTGAAGTGAAAATTCATAAAATTTTTTTTTTTTCAAAATATTGTAATATTTTTATATTTTGTATTCCTTTGTGAAACACATTTTTTTCACATAAGGAAACTGTATTTATGTATTAATCGTATTTATATAATAAAATTTAATAAAAATATCCGACTTTATAATTACTTTGATTGTAACACTATGTTCGATTAATTTAAAATTTGGCACCATACGTGTCAGATCTACGAAGTTCATTACAAGTTTTCTCACAAAATCTGCATCGGCTCAGAACCATAAAAACTGTAATTGCCCTACCCTCAGTCCAAAGTATTTAAGACCTTCAATACTCTTAAATATTCTGGCATTGGAAGCCAAGTGAAGATTCTTGTCATCCAGAGCAGAGAACGTATCGTATTGTGTTAATGTAATTTTCTGTTTTTTATTTATTTTATTATTTTGTTATTTTAAATTGTATATATATTCGTGCAATTTATTCTTTGGATTCAAATAGCTCAATATTTCAAAAGGTTTTGTATTTTACTGTGTTCTTAACTGTTCTACACAAAAGGAACAGTTACAGTGTTCCATAATTCTTAGAAACCTGAAGAAACTCTGTACAGTAGGGTAAAAACGTTCGTTAAAGATAATAAATAATTCTCAGTCAGATAAGGTGTGTTGTGGAAGTTTCATATAAAGTTTCCGATTAGTGTCTAATTTTATAAAATTTAAAAGACAATTAAAATCATATTTTTTCAGAAACACTGGCGGCATTTTCTGAAGGATGCGAATTTAATTTCGTGTCAGTTTCTTAGAAAGTTTTATAAGTAGATGTGATCTTTCATTATCCGGCGTCAATCCGTGATCTAAACTACGAGGGGTTGACGATGGAAGAACAATCTTAATATTTCAAAAGTAAAACATAAATCGACAGAAGATAATTAATTTACATAAAAAGTATGTTGTATTTCGATTGAAAAATCGAAATACAACATACTTTTACATGCATTAATTAATCACACGAATATTTAATTAAAAGTACACAGGGCGAAATCACTTTATAATGAACAATGCTATAAATAAATTAAAATTAATTATAAATGTGAAGCTCCGAAAGTGGGCGTTATTTGTGCAAAAAAAAGAAACTTTTTTCTAATTTTTGTATAGAAGAAAATAATAATAATTATTATTATGTTGTAAAAAGAAACCATCAAACGAAAAATGAATATTTTATGTTCATATAAGGACATGTCTGTAAAAATTTCTAAGAAAATCGAACTACTCAGATTAAAACAATAGATGAATTTGAGTGCTTAGATCGAACATCTTCGATAGAAATCGAATTGTCAGTCGATGTTGACTCATCTCACGATCTGGGTTCCGATCTCGTTACAATTCGTAACGAGGAGGGGACCAATTGGAGAGCGGGGGCAAATCGGCATCGATCTATCGGAATGTTCGATCTGAGATCCAAAGGAAACATAAAAACCGCGCGGAAAAAAATGTGACGTTCTTGGTCCTTAGTTCGCAGTGCTCCTCTCCGAGATTCTTGTCATCTGGACGTTCTCTCACGAGAATTTGTTAGACTTTCGGGAAACTTGTCTTCGCCCTTCCGTGCCATCAAGATCGCTCAGATCCACTTGTAGCTAGAAGACCTCGATCGAAGTAGTGTTGTGCACCCCGGAGCCGAAGTCTTCACGCCACCATCGCCAGAAGAATAACTACCGTCAGAACAGTTGAAGTTTTTGTATTATGGACTTGTTTCTGGACTTTGGATAGGTGTTACGCCTTTTTAAGGATTTGTTGTAAGAGAAATTTTTATATTTATTGGAGAACCTGTCTCAGTGAGTTTCTCCACTCCCACACGACAGTGCAGACCGCTCGATTGTTGCGACACTTTACACCCAATCGGCAAACCTCACATAAAGACGAAAATTAAAATTTTGAATATAGTTTTATTATATAATAAAATAAATATGTTTAAAAAAATACAATTTCGAATAAGATTAAAATTCAAATATTAAATTATCTTCCTTTATCCAACTGTATACAAATTTATAAACGCAAATTACTAAATGAGATAAACTACGATATTTCATTTACAATGTTGAAATTTTAGACCCGAAATAAGATACTTTAATGCAGTAACATAATACATTTGCTAGTGAAGGCCACCGATGCACTCTCGTATCGTGA